AAAAAGGTTGATGGCATATGGCTCCTTGACTGGTATTCCATTGCCTTTTTAAAATATATGTCCAAATATATGAGGTAAAGGTGGTTTTTAAAATATATGTCCAAATATATGAGGTAAAGGTGGTTTTTAAAATATATGTCCAAATATATGAGGTAAAGGTGGTTTTTAAAATATATGTCCAAATATATGAGGTAAAAGTGGTTTTTAAAATATATGTCCAAATATATGAGGTAAAGGTGGTTTTTAAAATATATGTCCAAATATATGAGGTAAAGGTGGTTTTTAAAATATATGTCCAAATATATGAGGTAAAGGTGGTTTTTAGTGGTTTTTAAAATATATGTCCAAATATATGAGGTAAAGGTGGTTTTTAAAATATATGTCCAAATATATGAGGTAAAGGTGGTTTTTAAAATATATGTCCAAATATATGAGGTAAAGGTGGTTTTTAAAATATATGTCCAAATATATGAGGTAAAGGTGGTTTTTAAAATATATGTCCAAATATATGAGGTAAAGGTGGTTTTTAAAATATATGTCCAAATATATGAGGTAAAGGTGGTTTTTAAAATATATGTCCAAATATATGAGGTAAAGGTGGTTTTTAAAATATATGTCCAAATATATGAGGTAAAGGTGGTTTTTAAAATATATGTCCAAATATATGAGGTAAAGGTGGTTTTTAAAAGTTCTAAGGTAGATGACGGGACCATCTTTGTTTCTAAACCTGGCTCTCAGCTCATAACAAATAATCATTTGGGGGATATTTACTGTGTGACACATCTGAAACCACCTACAGTTAGGCTGCTCATTACAGCTTGTTATTCTGTTTGGATTTCTGCTCGAGTGTCAATACAGTTAGGCTGCTCATTACAGCTTGTTATTCCGTTTGGATTTCTGCTCGAGTGTCAATACAGTTAGGCTGCTCATTACAGCTTGTTATTCCGTTTGGATTTCTGCTCGAGTGTCAATACAGATTGGCTGCTCATTACAGCTTGTTATTCCGTTTGGTATTCTGCTCGAGTGTCAATACAGTTAGGCTGCTCATTACAGCTTGTTATTCCGTTTGGATTTCTGCTTGAGTGTCAAAGCAATGCCCCTTTGACCCATCTCAACCCACTGCTGCTTCTGAGTATCAAGATACTAGCAAAATGATTAGCAGCTGCAACCTCTGCTGGTCTTTGAATGTGTGTGCAATTTAAAAACCTTGTAATCTACATAGAATGTTTACCAACAGGTGGGGGTCAATCTAACAGAATGGCCTGAGTTAATGCAAAACTTGATGCAGGTACAGCGTCTAGATTTTTTAAGTTTCCCAGCCACAATAATAACACAAAGCTTTCTTAATGTAATATTACAACAAAAGCATATGGGACAACTCAACAGATGGAGATAATATAAGCTTAAAGGTGAATTCAAAGCAAATACAGTCTCAGAATTCTTCACCGTAATCTGTAAACAAATGGTGTATTGTGATCAAAGTAGAAAAGCCTTTCTCTGTCTGATATATGATATTATCCATGCCACCATTCAGAAATTTCGATTCCATGAAAGGAATCCGACCCCCTACTCTACAGCAACCACTGACCTGGAAACATTTCTATGCCCCTGGAGTAGATAATTTCTGACAACTTCAGTTCTGATATCGATGCTTCCTTTTTATGATCATCTTCATTGGGCTGGAAGAAATGGAATAAAATACAATTGAGTTATTTACCTTGATTGAAAAGTAACACAGGCTAAACATTGAATAATGTTATTTTTATGAACACTAAATATCTTTTATGATAAGATTCTTCACAGATCCAAATAAATGGAAATGTTTTGTTTTTTTAATATTACATTGTACATATTCATTTTCAGCACATAAATAAATATTTAATCCAAGACAACATTCTACTGAAAGAGCCAATCATAGAGCCAATCATAGAGCCAACCACAGAGCCAATCATAGAGCCAACCATAGTGCCAACCCCAGAGCCAATCATAGAGCCAACCATAGTGCCAACCCCAGAGCCAATCACAGTGCCAACCACAGAGCCAATCATAGTGCCAACCCCAGAGCCAATCATAGTGCCAACCACAGAGCCAATCATAGTGCCAACCACAGAGCCAATCATAGCGCTGAGAAATGGGAATCTTTAAAAATGAACATCCTTTTTTAAAATTCCAAAAATGAACACTTTATTTACTTCAAATATTTCTCTGTCAATTTTTTTGGAGAGCCAAATTTCTTTTAAAGAACCTGTCAAGATCCATGTTTCTTGGAGTCAAACCCGATTTGTGGTTGACCGGCCAAGCCGCACACAGGTTATTAAAGAGCCACATGCTGCTCATGAGTTGCGATTTGCTGACCACTGGTCTGTAGCACTGTGTAAATTGTTTTATACAAATGACTCCCTGAAATAAACTTAAAGCTTATGATTTCCATCTGAAGCTATGTTAAATATATAGAGGCTAATTACCTGATTAGGTGCAATGCCTAGGACAGCTTTTCTCTTCAATAAAAATGTAGCTAATTCAAGTTCCATCCTAAACATCTGAAATACAAACAACATAGAAGACTTGTCAACGTGGACAGTGTAAATATTGACGGTTTAATCAAAGTGCACACAGCAAAGTTACTGCAAGACACAACAAGGACCATTTCAGTGAAACATCATTACAAATATGTGGCTAGCAGCTCAGTTGTATTTCAAGCAGTGAACACAAGAGCACCTATTAAATTTGTGTGAAATTTTCATTTAGCTATGCATGGTTAATACTGAAATTCTTAACCGAATTCCACAAAATTATAAATTTTACATAACATTACAGGGTAAACATGCCACACAAACACACATAATTATTTTCCTACGACCTGATATGTTATTTAAATTCAAAATTTGCAATTTTAAAAACTTATGAAACAAGGTGATTGAGCTTCATCATGTAACTCAGTGGTTCTCAACCTTTCTAATGCCGTGACCCTGTAATACAGTTTCTCATGTTGTGACGGCCCCATGCCACAAAATTGTTTTCGTTGCTACTTCATAACTGTACAGCATATGTGTTTCAGATGGTCTAAGGCGACCCCTGGGAAAGGGTCATGTGACCCCCAAAGGGGTCACGACCCACAGGTTGAGAACCACTGATTTAACTGTTAAAATACTATTAGGTTTGTACAGATTTATTTCAACAATTCAAATCTCTGTTATAATTCATCGAAATGGAAAATGTGTACCCTAAGTATCTATAGGAAAGGACTATCACATCAATTTAATCAAACAAGTTTGTAGACGCACTGACCTCAAGTATAATGATCTGTGATTCCGGATTGACCCGCTGACCCTGCAAGAGTATTTCTCTGGCCAACTCAGCATTACGATTCCCTTCATCGGAACTTTCCCACAGAGCAGCCTTCACCCACAAGTCTGGGAGTTTAATAAAAAAAATAATCGATAGAGCGATATCTCCCAACACCAAGGTTATTGTGACAACTTCTCTAGTCAAGCCATTGTTAATCAGTCAAAAATGTCTCTATCAAATAATGTTTCCCGCCCAAAAATAGATTTATATAAAAAAGCAAAATGTACCTTCTCTTCGTGCATGAATCTTCAGCATCTTATTGTACAGCCTTGACACATAAGCCTTTTCATGCTGAAAACATAATCATTAAAATAGGATGATGTGAAAACATTAAAAAAAATTATAGAAAATTAATTTTCCTTTAACTACTAACATTCAAAAGCACAGTAAAAAAAAAAAAAAAAGGTATCAAGTATTTGAAAAAAGGTTAATGTTATAATCTGTTCATGAAAACTAGATCAGTTCTATAAAAAATAAACATTAAAATAGGATGATGTGAAAACATTAAAAAAAATTATAGAAAATTAATTTTCCTTTAACTACTAACAATCAAAAGCACAGTAAAAAAAAAAAAAAAAGGTATCAAGTATTTGAAAAAAGGTTAATGTTATAATCTGTTCATGAAAACTAGATCAGTTCTATGTCAGGATCATCCAGAGAAAAAGAATAAATTCATCTAATGATAGAGCAAATCAAATAAAGTGAACAGTTACATTATAAGGTTACTCAATTTTTTAAAAGGACCATACCAACTTACCAAATGCTTACTGAACTCAATGTGGGCCTCCCACAAGCTGACATCATCCTGGCCAAACAAAGTGTCAACATAAAATAGAGATATGAGATTTGTGTATGTTCATGTCATTGAAATGAAACATTCCAAACTGGGCGGAACTGAAATGCCAATGCAATAAATGCCCTAATGTTGTTAAAATAAATTTTCCTTTGTGCCCCTGACATCTATTACAAATATACATAAATTATGCTTCCATATTCTTATAAACATAAAGCAAGTTTCATTTAGATAAATTTTTTTTAAAAAGCAAGATCCCTTAGAAAAGTGAATTTTGTTCAGTTGCAAAAGTAAGACCAATGATTAGTCAACAATAGAAGCATACTTACAGAGAATCTCACACAGGCAAGCTGAGGACAACCAAATAAACAACATTAATTAACAGAGGATAGTAGAAATTTGAAGTTCCAGCAAACCCGGACTTGGGTCCTTTTGCGAATTTACCAGGCCGATGGCTCCCGTTTAAAGGTTACAGAAAAGTGTAATCTCTATGTATGGTTTCAACTTTCTGTCAAAATATGTAGAGCTCACTATCTTATACCGGTACTGACAACATTATTAAGTTCCTGCTTTAAATGAAGAGTTGAAATTGGGGCTGACCGGGAACCTTGCCCTGTCAACCTTTTAGTACAATCTTTAAATTAAAATGAAAAAGATTTCAGTTATGTATCCAACTTAATTTCCTATTAACTTGTGCAACAGAATTGTAAACTAAAGAGTGTTTTTTAAAGGTATGGTAACATCTAAAATTGCAAAAGTCAAATGAGTTGAACATACCGTTGCTGCTTTGACATTACCCAATGGAATAAAGAATAACATATTTTTTTCAAATTTACTCTATACAGGACAGCCAGCTAATTTAATCTATTTTCATTCCATTTGCACTCACCCGATAAAGATTATGGATTCGATCAGCAATGGACTTTTCAATTTCTCTCTTTTTACTGCTTTGGCCCAATTTCTGATGATAATAACATATAATAACTAAACATATTACATAAAATAAACACCTATCTTATACAACATTTGGATAAACAAAGTAAACATATTTTCTTGATACATATTTTTTTAAAATGCCTTCAATGATAATATTCGAATCTCATAATAACCTTTTAAATTTCCTACCTTTCTACGGAATTTCAAAAGCTCCAACAACTTGGTCTCATACTGTGTTAAAAAGTATACATAACATTAAATTAGCTCATAAAAAAATGTATAAAAATAATAATGAATTAGTACCTAAAGCTGCAATAAAAAGACCATTTATAAGTATTGCAAGGAGCATGGTATCTGGAAGAACTAGAGACCATGTTATTTGCTAATCATCATCAAAGCCAGCTGTTCTCAACCTTTAAATTCCCGCAATCCCCTTGATACCAGCTTTGGCGACTCACTCACTGGATTTTTCAATGAGTATTGACAGTAATTGCATAATTTATTTATTTTAAAGACTTGTGTTGCATTTTAATTTTCATACAGTGATTTGGTATTTAAAAATAAAAAGAATATAATGTTTACTGTTAAATGTTTATCGTGGGGTTGTGATGGACAAAGAAAAGTTATGAGACATTGGTGGAGCCATCAATTTTAAAGTTTTTTAAAGTTTAAGCAGAAAAAAATAAAACAACCATAACACAGGGGAAAGAATAAATCATCTACTTAAAACGTAAACTAGCGGCTGACATGAATGATTCATATCTCTTCTGTAGCTGTAATGTAGTCACAGTGCAGTGACAGTAAGAAACTTGCCGCCCCATCACACTTAGTAAAATTTACATTACAAAATAAAGAGCATTTCAAATTTTAAATAAATATTCACTGTCAACAACAGCAAAACAATAAAATTTCTGATATTCTCAAGCAACCCATGGTCAGGCAACCTCCGATGGGGTCCAGATGCATAAGTTGGAAACCACTGATTTTAGCCCTTTTAAAAAAACATTTGTGTCTACACTTTGGGAGGACATTACCAGAAGAATTGCTTGAAGGGGCACAGACTCCCACTTGATGTCCACCATAATATTACGTTTAAGGACCAACAACTTAAGGGGGGGGGGGGATAAAAGTAAATTGAAAATATCACATGGAAGGTTTTTAACAATTTTAATTGCATATTAATTGATTTACATGTAAGCCATTCTGTGGACAGATTTGAATTTTTGTAAGGCTGCTGTCACTAGTGCTTTCTGCACCATTTAGTTAAGGGCTGGCAACAAAAATTCAAGTGGTAAAAAAACAATCCTGAAACCTTTGGAGTTCTAAATTGAGCCGTCATCACATTAAAATATAAATTCATTAGTATAACTGACTGAATCATAACTGGAAGTGTTAATTTTATATTAATTTGTGTTAAAATGAATTTAAATGTTAATACAATTTAATCATCAGTTATTTTGACAATAACTTGCCTTGATCAATGCTAAATTAAAATTATCAGATTATAAATTTGAGCCATCACAAACCTCGACGTAGTTTAGGAATGAAGATTTAGTTTTAGTCAGCTGTCGAAGCTTGTATTCATGGTTTTGTCGATTCCTCAAAATGACTCTGCAAGATACAACAATAAAAGTAATTGAAAATGAAATTCTGTTTCTGAAAATAAAAATAATAATTTAAATGAAAAATGCATTTGGTCCTCAAGCTTTATAGTCAACAGAAATCAAGGATGTTAGTCCCAACATCTAACAGAGTTATTTGCAACTTATTTTTTAATGTCATCAGAATCACAAAGTTCCTACTCCCTTTTCTAATCATATACTTATAGTGATTTCAGCATAATTGATATGCATTCTTATATGAAATGTTACAAAAAATCTTGCTTTTCAACAGCAGAAATGATGACAAACATATACAACTGAAAATAATGCCATAAATAGTTCTCCAACATAGAAACAGCTAATAAATAATGGCATAAATTTAATTCTCCAACATAGAAATAGCTACTAAATAATGGCATTATAAGCTTGTTTTTTATTTTCATATTTAAACCTGAACATGTAACATTCATGTAATACCTCATGCTAAACCAAAATAGTAAGAGTTGACTCAAACAATTTTGAACAGGAAGTTTTGGTAAATGTTTATAGCCCAAAGCTGAGGAAATTCTGTGCAAATGATCTTAACGAACAACAAACTACCTCCTAGCAGTTTATGATTCGGTAGAATGAATACAGCGTAACAGCATGGGATGATGGTTTTAATTTATATGGAGTTTAAGAACACTGTTTATTAGCATTTGTCAAACTAAGACTGGAGAAATTTGTTGATGGTCAATTAAAAATGGATTTGTTTTAATTTCCCCTGAGGATTAAGTTCACAGGGAGGAAACATTTGATGATTTCTTCAGCTTATAAGGATATAGTAGTGATTAAAACCTATTCCTGAAAAAAAATTTTGCTATAATTTTGAGAACGGAAGTTTGTTTAAAATGATATCTGTTATGAGGAAATGTATTTATTTGTTTTTAATTTGATCTTTATGGCAAGGTGAGAGAGAGAAATGAAGAAAATGTAAAGTTTAAGCAAAAATACAACATTTTTGGGTTAATTTACCCCATTATTTCATTTTGAACAAATTACAAGTATTCATTAAAACTAGCACATTTAAAATCGATTTAAAATCATTTTGTGGTGATGGGAGCCCGAAAAAACTTTTACAATTTAAATTTCAGCTCATGATAAACCAGCGCAAAGGTTAAGAACTAAGAAGAATTTATGATTTTTTTTGGTTTCCCACACTGAAAGTAGCCTAATACTAACACCTGTCACCCCATTTTCAAGTTTTCTTGGTATTATTTTGAAATTCAAATAATTAATATATTGACTTCAAAATGAATTTGAACCCACAAATTATAGGCCTAGTTAATTTATTAACATTGATTGTGTAGTTACTGTGTATGTAGTGAGTAGTGTGGTCTATGTAGTCATCATCATGTTTTTTTCTCCAGATTTCGGGATGACTTAATTTTGAAGACATGTGTGGTTGAGGAGCAGAAATTAAAGCCTCATTTTCAAAAATAAAATTTAACTTTGAGGACATTTTTTGGATTTCACTTTCGGTGGAACATGTAATAAAGTGTGTTAAAGTGTATTTGACTTGATGAAACTGTAAGTTGGGTTTTTATTAATGTGAAAATATTTCTGAAATATTTTTAATCCTTTTCCTTCATATTTATGTTTTTCTCACCACAATGTATTTTAATGAAACTTGGATTAGGGAAGGACCAACGACAAATCTCTGACACTTCTTGCCACAACAAAGATGCTCATTCGTCACAATATTAATGGATGACTGAAATTATGTCGGGAAAGAGGACAATCGCAAGTCATTGAGACTTCTTGCTGCATATGTAGAGGCTTAAAATAAAATTGATATGTTCAAAATGGGGAAAATATTTGGCTACTATTTTTGTTTGAAAATTAAACCATTCTGTTAATTATATTTATTTTACCATAACACACCACCTCCCTTTTCCCTACTCATTTTTTCAGCTACTTCATTTTCTTTCGACATGTCTGCAGTCATGGCAGCAAAGATTATGGCCAAGTAAAAAAAAGTAGAACTCAACATGGGGAAAAGGGTAGTACCAAAAAAAGTAGTTTAATAATAGAAACACCTTTGCCTAATTTCCCACTTATCCTTAAGACTCTATTGTGATATGATTATATATAACATTACTGAATGAATGAACAGGATTAATACTACTGAATATGGCATAAACCTACGTGGGACTAGAAGTGGAAATATTAGAAGTAGAAATCAGAATGACAAGTAGAAGGTCCCACATGTCAAATAGTATACGTTTAGTTAGAAAGCTCCTGGTGGCCCCAATAATTGGTAATGTGATTGTTTACTAAGATTCTGAATGAATGGAGTTGTCTTGAAGACTAACTGGTTGTAATAATGAAAAATAAACAATACAGACTGCATGCAGACTGCAAGCAGCAGTTCATTTTGCAAATTATGTTTTGCCAGGAAAAATTCTACAAACTTTGGACACAACACCCAAGCATGACAGCATGCTTTGGTTAGAGTGGCTTGCTGAACATGACCTCAACTCATAACTGTCAACTCTATTGTCGTTAGTCTGACGTGCAGTCACAAGATGGTTACCGATATGGAAATGCCATCTGTTCAGTATGACATGCAGCATATACACCGAGTCTTTTTTCGCAAACTGTGGCTCATAACACAGAAAATCGGCATGATGCATGCTGATATTATAGGGCTATTTGATTTACTACTAATTACTAAGTCAAGTGAATGCAAGCATGTCATGCTTTTCAAAAGCATTGAAAGTTGGGACACCATGTCATCATAAACTACTACATTTTCTAAATTGAGTGTCGTAATTGGTTTAAAATTCAACAAGGTGGAACATGCCATGGCGGTTTGGAAGCTACTTGATGCTTGTTTCCAGTTCAGTAGCGCTGCTTTAGCAGCATTGGCAACAAAGAACATGTTTTTGGACAGTACCTGTATTTAAAGTTGTTGAGTGACCATGATAATATTTGACCATGAACTTGGTATAACATTATTGAACTGTTAAATTAACTGCTCATTCGTTTAGTTTTATTAGTGTTTGTTTGGTACCGGCGTTCGGAGAATCACCCGAAAAATGCCACCTGAGCACCTGTCACCAGACGTAGGTACTTGGATATGAGGCTATTTTGGCCCCTAGCGTTTTGAGATGCTTTTTTGGGTGTGCTGGATGATAGGGTTCACTAAAAAATTATTTTTTTCGCGCTAGAAACGTCGGATCAACCAATGAATTACTGATCTAGTTACGTTATGAATGAGCTTTAACGACATCCATTTTGTTTTCAGTAATATCAGTATGTTGTAATTTTAAAAAAAATGTGAGAAATCGGCTAAGTCTAATTTATCAATATTTTGAAAACTATTCGTTGTCCCATTTTAAATCAACCTGGTGTACCTGTAGAATTGTATCAAAAATGACCAAGTAAAATTTCAAGTCTCTAAGACGGCCATAACAGTGTTATTTTTGGCCAGAAATAGTCTAAAACTTGAACAACAAAAAATGTCCGAAAACGAAAGTGACAAAACGGAAACAGTATTATTTAACAATAGTTGACAGATAAGAAAGCCCAAGAAATTTAAGCAATCAAGTTCCATCTTAATTAATATTAGGTTTTATTGTAAATCTATACAATAATAGACATATTAACTAATATTTTATCAGATATTGCTCCATTTCAAACTAAATCATAATTTTTATTGTAAAATTTCCTGTTTTAAAATAAATTACGTTTGGTCTTAATTTTTTTTTAGATTATTTTTTAAAAATTTTTTTGGAATTTTTTAAAATGATTAATGATTAATGACATTAAAAATTATTTTAATTAATTTTTTTTAGTTTTCAAAGATGTTGATAATACGATGATGAACACTTATGGAAAGTTTCATATTATTTGTCCACTCTGCTATAAAGTTAGATCTAGATCTATAATGACCCTTTTCGTAAAAAAAAATATTTTAATTTTTTTTTTTTGAATTTTTTTTAACGATTAATGACATTAAAAAATAGGCAGTGTCTACGCGTCCGGCGCGCCGGACGTCTATCTCCCGCACTATTTGTCCGGTGACCAGGTCACATGACCGCCGTAACAAAGTGGCGAGAGATATCTTGTCGGTCAGCCTTCTTCTTCTATATCTTAAGGGCCCACGATCAATTTATTGATAATTTTGGCTCCTATGCACGTAGATGGGATTTGCAATGTTTCTCTTCCTGGTGTTGGTGACTGCGAATGATTTAAAACTATTGTTAATTTTAAAATCTATTTCTCTACCAAGTAATGTACTGAGTATCTTGAATGCAAATAATAGAAAAAAAAACTTAAGTGAAAGTGGCTTGTAAACATTTTTGTTTAGTTTGTTATTTGAGTTTGTGCACCAGTAATCCATAAAATAAATTAGGGGCCAGTGAGGAGTAGGCAACCAATAAAAGTAAAAGATTTCATTTTAAATTTTTAGAAAATATTTAAAAACTTCTCATGAAACTACTGTTGCTGATGAACATGATAATATAAATATAGTATAAAATATTTTACATTTAAATGGGAGAAAAAAAAAATATCCATCCCCGGTATTGATCCTCAAATCATAATTATAGCGTGACATACCGCCGGACGTGTATCTAGGTACTTTGACACAAAATTTAAATATTGTCCAATTGCCATGAATGATACATCATTTTAAAGGGCTAGCTATAAGCTTTACAACAACACCAATTTCATCTTTCTATCTTTTATAGAAAAGGAGTTATGATTTTGATGGTGATTTTTAAACACCCCCTTCTTTATCTTAGTATTTAAATGAAAAAATGTGTGACCCACTTTCAAACAAAACGTTTTAATTTTAAAAGATAATGCTACCAAATGTTTAGGAGACATTCTCAGTGCAATTTACAGTACAATAAACAACAAAACTTTTATATAACATTAAGACTTCTATTTTTTTATAAATTTATTTGTGGGTATGTTCAGAAAAAAGTGAACAGAAAAATTGGGAAAATCATTATTTATACAGGAAAATACGAAAAAAAACAACATATTTATTGAATTTTAACTAAATTTATTATGCTTGTTTTAAATTTTAAATCATTATACCGGTATTTATAAAAAGGTAAGTAGTATTTTTTATTTATAAAATTGAACGCAAGTAATTATATATATAAATTACTCAAATAAAACCATCCATGATGATAATATGATTATAATGATGAGACTAATTCATTAAAAAATATTATTTGATATATTAAATAATTGTCTATGTACTGCTTTTCTATGTCCTAATAAAAATACAATTACTATGATGATGTTGTTTGAGTCTTGTTTATTAATTTGATGTATTTTAATAAAACTGTTGTTACATCTAGAACTTATACTATAGGCTTGTAATAGAATTAGATTAAGAAAAATTAAGCTTAGGCCTAAATAGACTATTATAGGATTATAATAACAGTTGTTTATAATTATAACTGATAATGATAAGTAGGTCTAATTTTAGTAATATTCTCTTCTGAAATAATTAATAAGAGAAAAACGATTATTATTATCGATATTACTATTGTAAAACTATTAATTAAATATTGATTCTATAATGAAAAAACGATAAACTGTGGTCCGGTACCGTACACAAATTTTAACGTAATAAATAAAACTTAAAACCAACCCTTGGTTACTACATAAACTTTTCAAGTTTGGTTATAATCTTTTCTTAAAATGATTCATTTTAAATGTCGGCGATCCTCCGAAGTCCGGTCCCAAATTATGTCCATTGATTACTCCTTGCTTAAAAGTCTTGGGCATCATTCTGTTTTGAAATTCATGTTTGCCTTAGTGGACGATGTTGGATGGAGGTTGTTGGCCGTCGAGATGCACAAACACTCGAGCGCATTATCACTATTAATGTGTTGTTAGGGACAACTATCGTCACGGGCGCCCGTCGAGGATATCAAAATGTCGCTCAGCTCAACAATGGGGGTTTATGCTCACGCTGTCATTGTGCACGCGCGTGAATTTGTTGATCCAGTAGACCAGGACATTCACACATAAACTATTGAAGGACTTTGGATGCTAGCGAAACGTAAACTCCGCAATCAGAGTGGTATTAGTAGTCATGGTCTGTTTGCAAGCTACTTGGGGGCTCTCAGTGGCGCAACAGTCACAAGCAGAACGGTTTTTGGCTGCTATTTGCAATTGCTATGCGCCAATTACAATATTTAGTATTTACTGACTGGTTTATAAAGTGACAGTTATTTGCAAGAGATATGACTGACATTTCTGCTGTTTTCTAACAATAAACACTGTGCATTGCAATTTTTTCATACGAAATAATTTGGGACCGGACTTCGGAGGATTGCCTAAATGTCTTATAATTATTTAGATGTTTAAGATTTAACATTAACGAATCACAGTGATAGCAGCCATTTCCGGCTTCTCAATCAAAATAAAAAAATAATGATAATTTCATACCCCCCACTACTTCACGGGTTGCATAACTTTTTATCGAGAGCTCAACGATAATTACTCAAAAAATGAAAAAACTCTTACAATGAATGTAGATTAGGGAGCACTAAACCTTATTTTGGTGGCTTTACTAGTAAAAAAGTATTTATGCCATTTATATACTAACCGATTCATTATAATAATACTGCCCGTGATGCACCAAAAATATCGTAGCATAAAACAATAATTGACCGGAACACAAAAACTGATACGTCAGTGATGAGGAAAGCAATTATTTTATAAACAAAGGTGACGTAGTATGCAATTTTCCAATGATACCATGTAGCTGTACGCCATATTGCAGAACACATTTTTTCGACATTTTAGGACATGCGCAGAACGGTGCGTGGACAAGTATTGTTATCCCTAGTATATCTTGAGCACTATTTGTCCGGCGCGCCGGACGTGTAGACACTTTGTAAAAAATATTTTTAAAATATTCTATTTAATCTTTTTTTAGTTTTCAAAGCAACAAAGATGTTGATAATACAATGATGAACACTAATGGAAAGTTTCATATTATTTGTCCACTCTGCTATAAAGTTAGATCTAGATCTATGATGACCCTTTTCGTAAAAAAATTTTGAAAAGAGGTCACAAATCTCTAATGACTATGAAAAAAAACGTTATTTTTTATTCACAAAAAAAATCATATCTTTTTAACCGAAAGTGCTACATGAAAATGAAAACATATTATTACTTCATTTAACAAAGGCTATCATACAGATGTGTTCATTTCTTAATTCATTCAATTTGAAAATTTTATCCAAGTACCTGCCAGACGTATAGGCCTACTTACTTAGTCTCCTTAACTGTGAATAAACCAAGTTTGCTCATTTCTTCGAGCTCGGGAATCATTTCCTCGAGCGTTTGATTGACATATTCAGCCATTTTAAAAGGGTTTAGTAATAGCTTTTCACCTCAAAATGAATAAATTTACAAACTGACAACTGTGTTTACAAATAAAATACAACATCCATGCCCAAGGCACAAGCGAATTTGAGTTATTTCCAGTAGATCAGTTTCGGCAGTTTACTATATCCTGTTAAAAATAGGTATGTTCTTTAAAAACTTTCGAATATTATTAAATATATATTTTAAATAAAAATGAAAAATCTTTAAAAATCTATGTTTTACAGTCGTAAGATTTTAATTTAAATATTTTTTTTGAAGTCTGACCTCCATCCATTAAAATAAAATATAGAATAGGTGGGAGCAGGTGTTGTTAGAAAAAGTTTGTTAATTTTTGACAGGAGGTAATGGGAAAAGGGAGGGGTGGGCGGGGGGTAAAAAATAATTGAAATCAACATTTCTTTCTTTTTTCTATGATGAATAAAAATGTATAGCCATAAAAAGAAATTTATTTGTAAAATATTTTTTTTTTTTTTTAATGGCTAGGCTTATAACTATAGGCCTGCATACAGTAGGCCTTTACATGGTTGCCAACTCAATAAAAGAATATTTAGAATTTAGGGACAAATATTTGAAAGTTTCAAAATTTTTAGGGACAAACATATTTTTTTAGCAACATTTTAACAAAATACTTTGGAATAATTTCGTTTTTATTTTTTAACGGACATCCTTAAACATTCATGCTACTAACTAGGATATTATTATTATAATTTCGTATACCAATTTCAAATAATAGGATAACGGGACACCAACGTCTTCTCTTGATACATTTATATATAATTGTCAAATATTGTAAAGAAAAGATCAATGTAATTTTTCTTTTTTTTCCCCCCTCAAATTATTGTTTACCCTAGTAAGTATATAAGAAATATTTCCACAAAAAAAAACAAAAAAAAAGAATTGTTTTTTTCTAAAGTCTAAATGTTTTTATTTCATTGATAAATCCTCACCTCTAATCTCGAATCAAGACTAAAAATTCTCTAAGCATCGAAAATATCGAAAATACCGGGATTCCGGGATTTGTAAACGTCAATATCAAAATACTGGTTTTGGCAAAAGGGACCGGTTTTGCGACCCCTAAAATATAGGGATGTACGTTTTGTAACTCTTTCATGAAACTACAATTCATCGCGTGAGGTAAGTGGCGTTGGACATAAGATTAGAATTATGATATAGTTCAGGGGCGTGCTTAAAGGATGCTTAGGCGTATCAATGATTTTTAGGGCTCTTTCAAATTCTTTATTTTTAAATGATTTATATTAACTTCGTTTGTGTTCGTGTGTTTCTTTCTGGCTGTGTGTATAACAAAATCTCAGGAAGGCTAATTGATCCACTTCCCGCAACATATCAAGCTGAAACATGGCACATAGACACCTAGCCGATGAAAACATATTCTACCGAATTTCGATGCCCACCCCACTTAGAAAATAACAGTTTTTTTTTCTATTTTCAAGGGGAAGATGAAGGAAATATGATGCCACTGATTTCATGGAGTAAAATTTCCTAAAACTGAGCTAAATGAGATTCTTTAAAATATTGCAAGTGCACTTGGTGCGTATTATTGTCTCTTGTTTTTCTGAAATAGTTGGTAAAATAAATCTACAGGGTGGTCATTAGAATAGTAATATATAAAAATGAGCTAACTATTTTAAACATTTTATCCGAATATAAAAGTTATTTAAAGATATTTTTAAAAAATTATAATTATTATCTCAGAATTACATCGTTTTTATCGGGAAAACCCAAACACCTGTTATTTTAGTGCGTTTTTAGTGCGTTGTTAATATTGCGTTGTTAATTTTAGCCATAGCTCTAGGTTTCTTTGATTTAATAACCCCACAGAAAAAAAATGATAATGTATTTTACACTTCTTAAAAGTAAAATTAATAAATGAAAATGATTGCTTGTGTAATTGCTAAAATTATATAAAACTTAAGCTTTGTATTTTTGACATTTAATAATTTTTACTTTTTATTCATTCCAAAATATACTTTTATGAAATTTACAAAGTAGTAAAAACGTAACCTTTTATCAGTGCAGCGAAACTACATAGCCAAAATGCATTCACTAATGTATTTATCACTCATCTAAATAAGAATAAAGCACACGAAATGCACAAATTTGTTTTTTCGGACGTGGGTTACAACCTTGTAGATGATTTTATTAATTTAAAAAAAAAAACTTTTTTTTGGGGGGGGGGGGGGGAAAAGAAACTTTCATTAGCCCAAAGCAGCACGAGAGACCCCTCATATTAAAATTTATAAAA